AATGGAATCTGAAGAACTTTAGTTTCTCAGTGGTAGTATAATGCACGCAGTTAAACCTTCGAAAAACTTGCGATAACGCCGTCCGAACGAAACAATACGAAGCCGAGGGATTGAGCATACTGGGGCTGCGTCGCGTACGTAGATTCGAGAGCTACCGGCTCACTGCATTCACATAGTATTTTTGAAAGGGTATAACTTCATTCAGAAACCATCTTTCGCAGAGCGGTAAAGACGATTCAAGTTGTATGGCCAGGCTCTATACGAAATACACTACAGGTTTCACCAAGCTTGCATGACGGCTTCTGGCCAGAAAATAACGCGGAGAATTTTGGGCGAACGCGAGTTCTTCACTTTTCAATGGAAATAGCTTCGTCCAGGCATAACGTAGAACAGAGATCTACATGGCATGCGAAATAAGAAGGTTTCTGTCTCCAATGAGCACAACAAACTTGCTGCAGCTCAACTGTAGCAAAAAAATAGCTTGTCGCGGAAAATCTCCTTATATATAAACCAGAAGTTGTTTGTGTGTCTGTGCGTCTGTCTGACCGCCTGAAATTGGGGTTTCGTGGAAATTCACTTTAAGGGAACTGATTGTGCTTGGAATAGACGTGGCATGGGCCAGCATTTGCAGAGCACACAAAGCTCCTAAGCTCCGCCCACAATGGGCGGGGCGTTCGCCGAAGTGGACAAAGCCGAGGATAAAAATCCTCAAAACGCATCCGGAGCAGATCACGAACGAATGAGGGAAAGACACCCCGTAAGCAGTATTTTGTGTACCATACGGTTAGGGTCGCCGCGACATTTCACTCTGCAAATCCTTAACACTAAGAAGGTTTCCTATAGATGATTTTGACGACTGTCTTCTAGGGGTGTGGGGGGGGGGTATATGTGCAAAAATCCGCTTCTTTTTGACCTCTTTCTTGCCTCTTGATTTGGATCTAACCCATTAAAGGATTTGGTACGTTGTACTCGATGAAGATAGCTCGCAACAACCGATGTTATTCTTGGCTCATCAAGATTTGGTGAAGCTTTCAAAAAACAAAAGTCTGGCTAAATTCTTCATAGCTGTGGGAATTGCGCCCATGATCGATGAGGAGCTGACTGGTGGCGATGTTAGCCGAATTGGAACCACTCTACCCCATTAAATAAGTCCTTTGATTTACAGCTCATGGCTGATAGCAACAACACGAACGCAATGGTCTTAAAAAGTAGTCGAGTAAAGGATGGCACAAAAAGTTTAGAAGCACAACGTCTCAGTTGCTCTTCTAGGGGAATTCAGCTTACCGGCGCACTTCCATACTAGGTGAATGCGAAGAATGCTCCTGCGAAGGTGGAAGAACTGACCGCAGTAGTCCCTGAGCGTGCTCGGTAGAGCTTTCACTTCAGTAAAAGTCCTCGACGAAGGCAATCTACGCTGAAAAATATCAGAAGAATCTGACTTATCGGCAAAAAACGTGACCTCAGGCAGGATTCACCGCATCCCTGGCGAGCGGGCTATCGCTACGTCCCTAACGGGCAGCAGCAAGTTCATAAAAGTCATTGCGTAGCGGCTGGTAGGCTCATCTAGTGTTCAGAACACGAGAGCCTCACCTAAGATATTTTCTGCAGTCTCCTTGGCTTTTTTCTTTATGCACAAGTCAACTTGCACCTACACACTCACTTTTGAACCGTCGCTCTCCTCTTCTTTCTGCGCCAACCGGGAAAAAAACAGCAGCAATAAGGAGACAATCCTTTTCGTAAGTATTCCTAGGCGACTTCCCAAGTTTCAGAGTCGAGGAAGTACGTTTTTGAAACTGCAAACTATAAAAGTTCTGGGGCTGCTTGTCTTAGGAGGGTCACCAAGTAGCATTCAGCAAAACTTGAATCAAGCTACCTTGTGATGATCTAAAAATTCTTGTCACTAAAGTGACAGCAGTTGTATCATGTTCGCAACAAACAGAGGAGTTCACAGAGACGCGTTAGCACGCGATACAGGCAACGTTGGGAGAAATCGCCATCACAAAGTGTGGGGGGGGGGATGGGGCGACTTTAAATGAGGGCGTGGCTCTGGCCTTGAGATAAGTTTTTTTATTGAACACCTGAGATCGGTAGCGTGGCCACATGTTTCAACTTGCAAACAGAACCAGATCGACAAGAGGTCGCCAAACTGGAGTACTCCGGGGGGGGGCGAGTAACCAATTCCGTGCCATGTTCAAATGCCACGCCTACTCTGGCTCAGGGATAAGGAGTGTATTTCTCTCGCTTTATGCGCGCTATCTAGTCGTTGAGAGTATTGCAATGTAGAGTGGTGGCATTTGACCTTGAATGGGTTTCTCGAACTGCCATTCAAGATTCTGTTGTGGTTGCTGGACATTTCCCGATTGTTCAACTGTTCTATTTGCTTACTCCGTTAAATTGAAAAGCATATACTTTTATTGTAGGCGCTGTTTTCCGCCTTCCTACGTCACTCGAGTTTTGGTTGAATATTGAATTTTCTGAAAACTGACAATGTAGTTGAGGAAGTATGGGCAGAATCAATTAAGAATGGTAGATAGCGATGGGGAAGGAGAAGGTCGGTAGCGATACCTCAACCATTCAACATGTTACGTTGCTACGGCATCATTGTGAAGAATTCACAACAAGGGGTCGTTAATGGTGTGAGCAAATTTTTTCGCATAGTTTTCTTGGTTTTTCGCACGGACGATATAAGGGCTGGCCTAAGCGGACGCAGGGGGGGGGGCGGTTCTGTCTTGCTTTCGTGGGGAGGAGAGTCGTCGTATTGGCTTTTGACCCGAAATTTGCGTCGTTGGGCAAAATTCCCGATTGTTGGTCTTTCGGGCTGTTTCTCCTCTTTCTAAATGTGGCTATACATTTTCCTCCCCCTGCAAACTTAACATATTCAATTTCTTTGATTTAGCTTTTTTTAGGGCAGGCGGTAGCCGCATGCATTGGTTTAACATGAAGTAGGGCAAAAGAACTATCCTGTGGAAGTGGCACAAATGCAACCATCCCGCCCGCCTCCTTTCCGACTTCCGCGGATAGAGCAGTGGCCTGTTTAATCAGTGAAGTTATTGAAGTGGTGCTGCTACTGAACTGGTTTGAAAAAGAGGATGAAGTGATGGGCATGGCAAGCAGCCCATGACGGTCAACTTTTTTTTCAATTCTCATTAAATTATTTGTGGATCAAGGCGAAAGCACTTAGAAGCACGTAGTCCTGACAAACGCTCTAGCCTAGCTTAAGGAAATTTGATTTCCTCTGGCTCTACTAGCGTTCCTCTCATTATTTATTGGAACAGTCAGTACTGATACAATTTTCTGTCAATTACCCATCAAATAAGGTTGTTCTGAGAGTACTTCCACGGAATACGTCTAGAAGTTCAACGAGAGAGATTGATGTCAAGAGGGCAATCAGTCTGACTATGAATGAGCTATTGGTCGTTTATTGTTAGAAGTTTTGCGGCGGACCTTTCCAAATAAAACAAGCCAAACGGTTTCAACGACTGCAGGAGTTGGCTCGGTCAGCGGTCTTCTCCGAAAAATCATTTCTGTCGATAAAATGATGAGCTCGAATTCTCAACTTCTGCTCCTCTTGCAAGCTCGGCCATGAGCACAGTGTGTACTCTCGTCTTACGGAGGAAGGTCTTTAGGTCGTAGCGCGCCTTTTCGGCGAATGGTTTTGTTGCTTGTTGTGAGGGTTCATACAAAGGATCAACAAATGGGTTTTCATTTGCTATGATTTTCTGGGCCTAGGTCAAAATTAGCGAAACAATTTGACAATGAATGCAGCGATTTTCAGCTATGTAGAGCGATTTTAAGTATGTTGATGGACTCCGTTCTGATTGTAACTTCGAGCATGCATAGTTTATGAGGTGCTCGTTAATTAGGCCTCGAAAATAGTTCTAAATAAAGTCAAAATGTAAGTATCATGTAGTAACACACTTGGCATGCACTGACGCAACAGTGATGTTTTTGTCAGCGGTCCCCTCATACTTTCGCAAATACAAATACCTTGGCAACGTGACCGCACTGGCTGCACCTCGTCGTCGTCCCCATCTATAAAATCACTAGTCTACTAACCGATACCCATGAAATTACTCAGTGGCTAATGCTAGGATATTTACAGGCGATGCATTACTTCTCACTATGGATATCATTATCGCTTCGTTCGACTCGATATCAGAAGTCAACATGGTAACCATCTGTTTCCAATCGATGCAATCGATTATTGATTTCTGTAAACGTGTGTTAAGGACTACACGATCACCATGTATTTACATCAATATTGGACTGACGAACGGCTCTCGTGGGGTGGTTCAGTACCGATAGATGAAATGACTTTGAGTGGAGAATTCTCTCAGTAAGTCTTACTACATAAGTGAATAAGTAGGGAAATTTCGAGTTCGACGGCGTTTATCCCTTTACATAAGCAGTTTCTGGTATCATTTGGTAACGATCATGGAAACAGCCCAACAAATTTAAGATTGGTCTAGGAGCCTGGGCACGTAGAATCTGTAGGGCTCCGCCCATATTTTTAATAGAATTAGCCTTTCGAGCGAAAAGAAAAGTATAGGTATCGACTTGGCGTTATGCCAGAATCAGCATTCCCAGCCAATCCGGATTTTTCCTCAGTTGAGGGTCGTATTTTACGAAAATTCTCCCCAACCTGGGGAAGTGTCCTGCTTGTAATGAGCAGATGTCCAGTGGATGGAGCCCATGGGAGCCCAACCCTTGCCAAATGCTTTGTTATATCTGCCTGTTACTATCACTGTTAATTTTTAACTAAAAACTAGTGAATATGTATCAAGGTGCTTGGTTTTAAGAAATATCTGGGTACCGGATACATTCCTTGCCAACGACAAACACTCATTCCTTCATGAAGTCACCGAACGCAATAAAATGCTGAGGATTAGCGGCGATGGAAAAATCGCCTATGGAATGAGGTGAGAGAACTTTGCATTTCCTGATTCATTCTCAGGAGTATCGATCAATAGATTGCTTTGATTCCTTTCGCTTCCAAAACAGCTGACTTCCAGGCTCACGTCAACGCTTAGCTGCTCGATGAACCTACGCAATTTTCCATTGGATTCGCAAAATTGTACGGTAGAAATAGAATCATGTGGGTTATTCAATCTACAGCCTTATGTGTACTGTGGAGCGCCGGCGCTTGTGGTTACGTATGAAATGTCCAGAATTGTCTGATTACAGATGGCTACACTACATCAGAAGTACTTATGCTGTGGAATCGTCCAAAAGCTGTTCATGGCGTTGAGGACGTTGATGTCCCACAATTCACCATCACTGGTTACCAAACAGAAGATCGTGTTGTCAGCACAGCTACAGGTAAGAGCGTCACACGAAACTCACCATTTAACCTCATCTATACTTCGCCCCAGGCATTGGCAGGTGGTCAAGACAATCGTAATTTGCGGCGCCGTCCCGTGTGCGGCACATCGTGCGGCTGTAGACTCGACAAATCCTTCGAAACAAATACAGTCATGATCCCTGCAAACGATAGGGCGTGTGAAGGGGCGTGAACAGCCAGAACAGACTTTCCCACCATTTGTTGCGGACTTAGGATGGCATGTTTGGGAAGGGGACCTTGGCAGCCTTACATTCCATGCTCCGTGACACGCCCTATCGTGTGCAGGGATCAGGCTGTACAGTCTGTATACCTTGGGTTCTAAAGCGCTAACTCCATGTTTTTATACCAGTGTGACAATTCTGCCACACGGTCCCTGTGTTTGGCCTCGGAGTTCTGGCTAGGGCAGGGCACTCCTTGTGGAAAACACATTAGGAGGGGGCCCACGATTTGAACACTGGAAGGATATCGTCATTGCCTTCTACAGACTTTTGTGATGGTCGAATTTTTTTCGTCTCAGGCGCTGCTCTTGGCGGAGTTCTAGTGGGTATCATACTGTGGTCTATGGGGGAGAGCTCGTAGAAGCGTTTCCGCGTTACGAGGGAAACTTCGCTTATGAAATTTTCTCCAACTCACGTGCGCTCTATAATTCCTTCCTGGGCACGTCCTACTGCTGGGGGAAGTTTGCAACCTCTGAACAGCTCACCCCTCTGGTGTGACCCCTTTACCCATCCCCCTTCACCTTTGTAGGTTTTGCCAACTTCCTATCCCTTTTCCAAAGTGTTTTCCGAAAACTTCTCCACGTCGACAAAAAGGAGAGGAGGGGGTTTGGGATGGGTGAGACACATGATCCTGAGACAACAAAAATTGGGACTGGTCGACAGCTGAAAATTCCTCTCAAATAGAGATACGACCCTTTTCCTCCCTCCAGCCACCAAACACGACCCGTGGCCCTCAGTGGGATCCCAACGTACAACGTGCCCGGTTCTGTTCACCCTTCAACCCCTTTACCGCTCGAGGGTCGAGTGAAACCTGTTGTCCAGGGGGCGGGG